AAAATTGACCACTGTCTGGAAAATCTTCCAGCTCCTGCACCCAACATCTTGCTCCTGGGGGATTTCAACTTAAGGCACCTAAAATGGAGGAATATAGCAAATAATATTGTTGCAGTAATAACACCAGGAGGCAGCTCTGATGAAAACTCACACTCACGCGAGCTTTTAAATCTCTGCACAAAATTCAATTTAAACCAGCAAATAATAGAGCCTACTAGACTGGAGAATACACTAGACCTCATCTTCACTAACAATGATGATCTGATAAGAAATGTCACCATATCAAAAACAATATACTCAGATCACAACATAATTGAGGTTCAGTCATGTATGCGCGGAGCCCCAGGACCGACATAATGAGATTAGTCACGAGGGAGCATTCACCAAATTCAACTTCAATAACAAAAACATAAAGTGGGACCAAGTAAACCAAGTCCTAACCGATATAAGCTGGGAAGATATACTAAGCAACACAGACCCCAACTTATGCCTAGAACAGATTAACTCGGTGGCACTCGATGTATGCACAAGGCTTATTCCTCTAAGAAAAAGGAGGAGTAGATGTAAAATAGAAAGAGACAGGCGCTCCCTTTACAGGCGACGGAAAAGAATAACAGAGCGGCTTAAAAGAGGGTCAATATATCTGAAATGCGTAGGGAGACACTGGTCAGAGAAATAGCAAGCATCGAACTTAAGCTAAAAGAATCCTTTAGGAGTCAGGAATCGCGGGAAGAACTAAAAGCCATAATGAAATCGAAAGAACCCAAAGTATTTCTTTCCTATGCCAAATCAAAATCGAGAACAACGTCCAGTATTGGGGCCCCCTACTTAAACAAGATGGGTCCTACACAGATGACAGCAAGGAAATGAGTGAGCTACTCAAGTCCCAATATGACTCAGTTTTAGCAAGCCGCTAACCAGACTGAGAGTCGAAGATCAAAATGAATTTTTTATGAGAGAGCCACAAAATTGATTAACACAAGCCTATCCGATGTTATCTGACGCCAAATGACTTCGAACAGGCGATAAATGACATGCCCATGCACTCTGCCCCAGGGCCAGACTCATGGAATTCTGTGTTCATCAAGAACTGCAAGAAGCCCCTATCACGAGCCTTTTCCATCTTATGGAGAGGGAGCATGGACACGGGGGTCGTCCCACAGTTACTAAAAACAACAGACATAGCCCCACTCCACAAAGGGGGCAGTAAAGCAACAGCAAAGAACTACAGACCAATAGCACTAACATCCCATATCATAAAAATCTTTGAAAGGGTCCTAAGAAGCAAGATCACCACCCATCTAGAAACCCATCAGTTACACAACCCAGGGCAACATGGGTTTAGAACAGGTCGCTCCTGTCTGTCTCAACTATTGAATTATAGGCATTACAGTTCTTAGAGAAATGAGTACTGTTGCAGAAGATACAATCTCTCCTTTCTTTGCCTGACCTCTTATCAATTGGGCTACCCTTATTGTGGTACTTTCTCCTCTTGCTTTGATGGAGAACCACTATTACTGGCCCCTGTCACTTGATATGTGCCTACGTAACCCCATTTAGTAGGTGACTTATGATTATTGATATTGGGATAAAGTTTCCTTTTGTGGAACTTGACAGGTGCACTGGGGTCTGTAGACGTGGTATTCCTATGACAAAGTCTTGGGCCATTTTAGGGAAGTGTTAAAGAGATGCCAGAAACAGAGCTCTCTCCACAGTTATTTTGTGAGACAGGACTCCAGTGACTCTCAAGGTGGTCCTAGTGGCATTAAGAAACAGAGAAGAGAAGCAACCCCAGAAAAGCAAATGGTACCTGAGGTGTTGATGGAAGGGGATTCCCCTTCCAAACTATAAACAATCCACTCTCTCTCCTCCTCCAGTCTCCCATACACTAAGAAGAATCTCCAATAAAGGTAAGTGTTATGCTGTTAATGTTTCATTCATCATTTCCCATTGTATTGTTTATGTACTACATGCATATTTCATGTTAAAAATTTTTTTGTTTTAATACTTCTGGGTGTCAGGAACGGATTAATTGTATTTACATTATTTAGGGGAAAATTGATTCGTAAATCGTAAATTTCGTTTGTAGTAACGGTCCAGGAAGGTTAATTACGACAACGAGGGACCACTGTTTTCAACTGTGAATAAGCTACCATGGTGATGGGGTGTGGTGGTGGTGGATGGTTTTGGGAGTGGTGGTAGTGGATGGTATGGTGGTGGATGTGGTGGTGGTGGATGTATTGGTGGAGGTGGTGTGGAGGTGGTGGTGGTGGTGGATGGTATTGTGGGAATGGTGGTGGATGGTATTGGTGGATGGTGGTGGTGGTGATGGTGGTGGTGAAGGATGGTATTGGTGGATTGGTGGTGGTGGTGGATGGTATTGGGGATGGTGTGGGTGGATGGATTGTTGGATAGTGGTGGTGGTGGATGGTACTTTGGGGGATGGTTGTGGTGGATGGTTTTTGGTGATGGTTTGGTGGGTGGTGGATTTGGGGATGGTGGAGGTGATTGAATGGTATTGGGACTGCTGGTGGTGGTGTTGGTTGATTGGTATTTGGGAATGGTGGTGTTTGGGGTGGATGGTATTTGGCAGTGTGGTGGTGTTGGATTGGTGGTGGTGGATTTTGGGGGTGGTGGTGGTGATGGTGGTGGATGGTGGTGGTGGTTGGATGGTATTGGTGGATGGTGGTGGTTTAGGTTGGTGGATGGTGGTGGGGGTGGTGGTGGTGGATGGTTGGTGGTGGATGGTGGAGGTGGATGTGGTGGTGGATGGTTTGGGAGTGGATGGTGTTTTGGTGGTTTGGTGGAGATGGTGGGGGTGGTGGTGGTGGATGGTACTGGTGGATGGTGGATGATGGTGGTGGTGGGTGGTATTGGTGGATGGTTTTGGTGGTGGATGGTGGTGATGGTGGAAGTGGATGGTTGTGGATGGTGATAGTGATAGTGGTGGTGGCGGTGGATGGTGGATGGTGCCTTCTTCAGAGATTAAGGAGATTTGTGTCATGTAGAATAGGGTGAAGGCATTTGCTGAAAAATATCACCTTGAGCAAGCTGAAACAAGCGATCTCTGCAACAAGTTCAGTGACAGAACCATGTCCCATTTTAGGGAAATCTTAAAGAAGGGAAGTAACCCCAGGTAAGGACTTGTTACCTAAAGTCTTTATGGAAGGGGATTCCCCTTCCAAACATAAGTGCTCCCTCACTCCTCCCTAACTTCCAGATGCCATCAACAATCTTCAATAAAGGTAAGTAAAAATGTTATTTTACAGTGGAACCTCAAATTTCAAACTTAATCTGTTCCAGGAGCTAGTTCTAAAGTCAAAAAGTCTGAAAGGCGAAGCAATATTTCCTATAAGAAATAATGGAAATACAATTAATCCATTCCAGAACCCCAAGAATATTCACAAAAATACATTTTATAGACAGTATTGAATTATAGTTTTACATACACACAACAAATATAGTGTACAATTATTAATAAATTTAAATAAACATATAAAATAACATTTTTACTTACCTTTATTGAAGATTGGTGATGGCATGTGGAAGATAGGGAAGAGAGAGAGGGAGTTGGGGTTAGCAGTTGGAAGAGGAATCCCCCTCCATAATGACTTGAGTATGAAAGCCCTCTCTGGGGTTAATTCCTTTCTCTGTCTTTTATTACCACAAGGACCAGCTTGAGAGTCACTGGACCCGTCTCACAAAATAACTGTTCACGGTCCTCTGTTTCTGGCGCCTCTTTAAGATTTCACTAAAATGGGACATGGTTCTGTCACTGAACTTGTTGCAAAGATGACTTGTTTCAGCTCACTCAGGGTGGTACTTCTCCACAAACATTTAGACATCATTCCACTTGGTGCAAATCTCCTTAATCTTTGAATTAGCATGCAACCTCCTTGCCTTTTCACAAATAATCGTCTCTGAAACACTATCACCTGCCATCTCTTTATCCTTGATCCACACCAGCAACAATTGCTCAACCTGATTGATTTTCTGTGGTCTTTTTTTTTGGGTAGCATATTAACACTTTTCGCAACATCAGCTTCCTTGATTTGTTCTTTCTTTGCCAGGATAGAAGCGATGGTCGACTTGTTTTTCCTGCACATCCTGGCAAGCTCAACAAGTCGCACACCACTCTGATACTTCTGCATTATTTCCTTCTTCACATCTATGGTGTTTCTCACTTTCTTTACCACAGGGGTACCACTAGCAAGTTTCTTTGGGCCCATGGCAGCTTATTTCCCAATCCCACAAGCACTAAACACAATGAATTAATCGTAAAATGTTTGAATGAGACCGCAGGGTAGTGTTCACTCAAGCATCAACAAAGCCAGACTGGCTCACAGCACCTGCACGGGGACGCAGACAGAGCAGGCTGACGGACAGGTTCGGTACCCGGTGGTTCAAAAGAAGAGGCGAGTTCAATAATAGGGACAAAGTTGGTTCAAAAAAAGTGATCAAAAGGCAAAGAGTTCAATAAGTGATACGTTCGAAATTTGAGGTTCCACTGTATATGTTTATTTATCTATTACTAATTGTACAATGTATGTTTGTTGTGTGTATGTAAAAATATGATTCATCTCTATAAAAAGTATTTTTTTGTGAATATTTTTGAGTTTCTGGAACCGATTAATTGTATATTTATATTATTTCTTATGGGAAATATTGCTTCGAGTTTCGAACGATTCGAATTGAGAACTAGCTCCTGGAATGGATTAAGTTCGAAACTCAGGGTTCCACTGTAATTTTTTTATTAGTGTACATAACATACATGTAATTAATGTGTATCTAATTCCCATTACTGCCTTTTCATAATTCATAACTTTAAACAATGGAAACCATTTTATTAATCATTAATATTTTTTCTATTCTGCCCAAATTTTATGTAAGTGTGGACAAACCAACACTTTAGTATATTTTTATTTTGGGTATGTACTTTAGATATATTTATTTAAGCATTTCCCATCCATACAACTGAAGGATACCTTAAATTTTCTCAGTGAAGCATACAAGTTTATTATAATTTTATTTTATGAAAATCTAGTGACAATCTTTTCTCAATAATTAATCCTACATCCCTATCCTATTAATAATTTATCACAATCTATATTGTTCATGCAATTTGTTATCACTTTTCCATTTCCATTAACAAATTTGATTCTTGTAAACTCTCACGTGTTTCATTAGTTGTATTTTTATTAGTCTATTAAACACTCTAAATGCAGATATGTTCTTCTTTATGAATTCTCACAGATTTTAATAGTTTTGATTTATGTGAAAAGTCTTTTACACTCTGTGAACCCTCATACAGTTTATTTCGTGTATGTATTTTCATGTGAGTTATTAGATATGATTTTCGTGAAAAGCCTCTTTGACACTCGGAACACTTAAATGGTTTCTCTCCTGTATGTATCCTTTTATGTAGCATTAAATGCGATTTATGTGAAAAGCCTTTTAGACACTCAGGACAGTGATATGGTTTCTCTCCTGTATGAACTCTCATGTGTGCTAACAGATTAGAGTTACGTGAAAAATCTTTTAGGCACACTGAACATCTATGTGGTTTCTCACCACTGTGAACTCTCATATGTCTTAGTAGACTTGATTTGCATGAAAAGTCCTTTAGACACACTGAACACTTACATGATTTTTCTGCTGTATGAAATTGCATATGTGATAACATATATGATTTATGAGAAAAGTCTTTAAGACACTCTGAGCACTGATATGGTTTCTCTCCTGTATGAATTTTCATGTGTGTTAATACACTTGATTTATGTTTAAAATCTTTCAGACACACAGAACACTGATAGGGTTTCTCTTCAGTATGAACTTTCATGTGTTCTATTAGATGTGATTTTTTTGAAAAGTCTTTTAGACACTGCAAGCACCTGTATGGATTCTTGTCTGTATGAATTCTCATATGTATTAATAATTGTGACTTATGTGTAAAGTCTTTAACACATTTTGAGCACTGATACTGTTTCCCTCTTGTATGAATTGTCATGTGTCTTAAAAGACTTGATTTACATGAGAAGTCTTTAAAACACTCTGAACATGACCATACTTTTTCTGTTGTATGAGCTCTCATTTGTGATAGCATACTTGCTATACACTCTGTGAAAGCCTTTTAAACACTGATATTTTTCCACCTTCATTAACTTACTTATGATTTATTAGAGTTTTACTAAAGATTTAATAATAATTTATCAAAATATAATTTGTTATTTATGTTCATATCAATAGTTGTTATAATTTTAACATTACAGATGTTCATAATGTAAATGATTTACGTATTTCATGTTAAAGTTATTACTGAAGTTCCATCTAGAAGCTTTTGATGTAACCAATAATGTTGAAGTGAACTAAGATACAAAGGTTTAACACTCAGAATGTAGTATTTCTGACAGTGTGGTGCATTTCATTAAATAGATTGGTAAAACTTTTAACCTGCAATATTTCTGCCACTTGCATGGGCTTTAAAACACCAGCTGCTGGAAAGCCAAAGTATTAATTTTTTCTGTTGTAAGATTGATCTGAAAAAAGAAAGAATAGATAGATTAGCAGGGCTTTAATTTAGAGAATGTGTAAGAGGTAAAATCTCTTTCAAATCATTAGCAGAAAGGGTAGAAAAACTTTCAAGAATACATCATGTTAACTCTTTCACTGTCTCTCACATATATCTACGTTACTGACGCAAGTGTCGCTCACAGTCGATCTGTGTTTTAAGCCCATTGCCTTTCAATATGGTGCGAATGGTGAATTTTGGCCAAGATGTCAGAGAATAGGTCTGTAGAGTAAGTGTGCAAAGTATAGAAAATGTCCTGCCCTATGTGATGTATGATGGGAAAAGCAAATATCTGTCCTTATGGTTGGATTATAATTGCAACTTAGAGGTGTTTTCTAGGATGGTTTTATTGGCTGTTTTTTGGTATTAATTGATATAATGGAAGAGATGATAATTTTTGTCAGTTTCATGAACAGAAGTAGCTTAAAACAGAGCTCAAATTAGCAAAAATATTTGATTTTTGATGATTTTCCTGAGGAAGAATAAGGGCATCCCTGCCCTCTCTAGTATGTTTCAAAGGTTTTGTTCTACTTCAATTACTGGGATGACCTAAACTATGACCAACCATTATTCAAGAAATAGGGTTAAAATTGATAGATTCAAGTATAATATAGGAGTGGCCTGGGGAAGTGATTAACGAACAGAAGGTTTACCTGGAGTTTACCTGGAGAGGGCTTCGGGGTCAATGCCCCCATGGCTCAGTCTGAGACCAGGCCTCGTGATGGATCAGGGCCTGATCAACCAGACTGTTACTGCTGTCAGCAAGCAAACTGACGTACAAACCACAGCCAAGTTGGTCAGGTACTGACTTTAGGTGCCTGTCCAGTGCCTTCTTGAAGACAGCCAGTGGCTTTAGTGGCTAGAATGTAAAGTGTTCATTTTAGACTGTTTTTAACCCTTTGACTGTTTTCGACGTATAAATACGTCTTACGAGCCAATGTTTCTGACGTATATATACTCAATAATTCTAGCGGCTTCAAATCAAGCGGGAGAAAGCTGGTAGGCCCACATGTGAGAGAATGGGTCTGTGTGGTCAGTGTGCACCACATAAAAAAAATCCTGCAGCACACATTGCGTAATGAGAAAAAATAAAAACTCTGATCGTTTTTTTGGAATAAAACGCCGACTTTGAGGTGTATTTTCGTATAGTATTTATCGTTGTATTCGCGTTTTCATGGTCTTAGGTGATAAAATGGAAAACATATTACAGAAATAGAGATGATTTTCATTACTTTGACAATGAAAATGACCTTGAAACTGAGCTCAAGGTAGCGGAAATGTTCGATTTTTACCAATGTTCAGGAGTAAATAAATCACACCACACGTCCAATACACGTCAACTGGGGAGTCTAATATTCTTTCACTAGTGCACTGATATTATTTATACCATTTTTACAATAATGCAGTAGTCTGCATAACAGTATATTTTGTATTTTTTTGTATGAATAAAAAATCAAAATAGAAAGCAATAATAATATAAGAGGGGCCTAGAGATATGACTAATGAACAGAGCATATGTTATTTTAGTGCCACGAATGTCTACCTTGTTTATTCTGGACCCTATTTTGAAATTAGCATCTTTTTTTGTTTGGTGAAATTGGCAATTGCCAATTTCTGACCACCATATTGGGTAGTCCAAATTAGTAAATGGGAGGTTTCTTGTACTCAGCTGATAGATAAAATGGAGTTCTAAAGAAATAGCTATGAGTTTGGTCAACTGGAACAATGGAATTGGCTGAAAACAGGGCTCAAAGTCGGCAAAATCGCTGATACGCATATGTCGCCGAGACCGCTAACTTCGCGGGAGCATAATTCCATGAGTTTTCGACCAAATTTCGAACTTTTGGTGTCATTACCATCGGGAAAAGATTCTCTATCATTTCATAAGAAAAAATAATTTTTTTTTTCAAAAATTGAGCGACATAGAATGACAGTTTCAGAGAGGGGCCCTGAAACAGTCAAAGGGTTAAACTGGAATTTGTTACAATTTGTGTAAAAGTGCCTAAATTACTGTCTTATGTGCACGTTATAGATGGCTTTTGGACTCAGTCAGCAGAAAGCAGAGCTTAGTGGCAAAAAAGGTGAAACAACTGACATGCAAATTGTGCCCAGACTGCCAAATTTACACTTGTAAGATTCCATAAGTTTTCCATTAAATTTCATATTTCTGGTGTCATTACCTTCAGAAAAAGATTCTCTACCATTTCAGATTTTTTTTTAAATATGATGCTGTTAGCACTTTTAATTCTGGAGACTGCAACAGTGAAAGTGGTTTTACTGACTTACTCAGATAACTGATAGTACCTAGTAATGGCTGGAATGACAGTGAAAAATCAAAGGAAGTGAGGACGTAAGTTTTCCATTATTTCTATATTCATGGAAATTGCTAAACCTGAAAACAGTGCTTTATGGCTTGGGAAGGGAAAGTTTAAAGAAACATGAAGGGAGAAGGTGGTGGGTGTAAATGCTGAAGTATGAAAGAAATGAAAAATAGCAACTAATTTTTTATAGATACAGTAGACTGTCATTTAACATGAGTTTATTTGGCACGATTCAGTTATAGCACGATTGAAGAATTGTGGCACTATTTTATACAACACTTCATAAAATTAACTTATCACGGTTCAGTTTGCTGTAGGGGAAAAAATTTTGAGTGTGCGGTCGCCCGCGGAATTGGCTATGGGTTACACCACTGAGTCAACCACCATCCCCCACCACCCTCAACACCCTCCCAGCCTTCAGTTTGTTTCATAGGTGTGTAGGACAATCTTCTGGGAGCTCGCTGTGTTTTAGATACACATTTTAATTGCCATATCTTAAATCTGCCAAGCAATCATGGCACCCAGTAGGCATACAAGTGTTGTTGAAAGTGGCAAGAAAAGGTATAAGCATTTAAGTCTTAGAATTATCAAAGAAAATAGACATTAGACAAGAGATAGCCAGTGGCCATAATGAAGCATCACTTTGTGCACATAAGAATGAAGTACAGTGGAACCTCAAAAATCGAATGTATCACATATCGAACGTTTCGAAAATAGGACCATTTTTTTGGACAAACTGTGTCCCTATTATCGAACACGCCCCTATTTTCGGACCACCGGGTACGGGACCTGTCTGCCGCCCACTCTGTCCGCGTCCCCGCACAGGCACCGTGAGCAGTCTAGCTTTGTTTATGCTTGAGTGAACACTAACCTGCGCTCTCATTCACGCATTTTACGATTATTTCGTTGTGTTTAGTGCTTGTGGGACTGTGAAATAAGCTGCCATGGGCCCAAAGAAACTTGCTAGTGGTACCCCTGTGGTAAAGAAAGTGAGAAACACCATAGATGTGAAGAAGGAAATAATACAGAAGTATGAGAGTGGTGTGAGACTTGTTGAGCTTGCCAGGATGTATGGGTAAAATAAGTCCACCATCGGTTCTATCCTGTCAAAGAAAGAACAAATCAAGGAAGCTGATGTTGCAAAAGGAGTTAATATAGGGAATGGATGAGGTGCCTTCTTCAAAGATTAAGGAGATTTGTGCCAAGTGGAATGATGTCCAAATGTTTGTGCAGAAGTACCACCCTGAGCAAGCTGAAACAAGCCATCTTTGCAACAAATTCAGTGACAGAACCATGTCCCATTTCAGGGAAATGTTAAAGAGGCGCCAGAAACAGAGGACTGTGGACAGTTATTTAGTGAGACAGGGGTCCAGTGACTCTCAAGCTGGTCCTAGTGGCATTAAAAGACAGAGAAGGGAAGTAACCCCAGAGAGGGCTTTACATGAAGTCCTCATGGAGGGGGATTCTCCTTCCAAACACTAACCCCAACTCCCTCTCTCCTCTTTCCTATCTTCCAGATGCCATCACCAATCTTCAATAAAGGTAAGTAAAAATGTTATTTCATATGTATTACTATACATAATTAAAAACTATAGTATTTATTGTATGTAAAACTGTAATTAATCTCTATAAAATGTATTTTTTGTGTGAACATTTTTGGGTTTCTGGAATGGATTAATTGTATTTCCATTATTTCTTATGGGAAATATTGCTTCGAATTTCAGACTTTTCGAATTTAGAACTAGCTCCTGGAACGGATTAAGTTCGATTTTTGAGGTTCCACTGTTAATATGAGTGTGTGATGACTGACTGACTTACTGGTTATGAATTACTACTAAATGATTGACAATATGTTTACTATGACTTGACTGATTTACTAACCTGACTGAATTTATGACTTATGACTTGACTGACTGACAAATGACTGACTGACTGACTGACTGACTGATTATGAACTTGACTGATTTACTGACTGATTACTGACTTAAACTGTATTTACTGACTACTGACATGACTGGGCTTACTGGACTGATTACTGACCTGATTGATTTATAACTTTGACTTGCTGAATAAAGTTAGACTTTTTCACTGAAGAGGACTCCTGGAAACGTGTCTAGAGCAGCTGATGCCTTTACGTTCAGTTGCATAATTTTATGTGGGTAAAACAGAACAGAAATCTATTACAGAATTTATGACACTCAGTACAACCATCAACTTCAGTACCAGAAACCTCTTTTAATCACTCAGCCTAGCAGGGCCACTGCTAAGTCTCCACTACTCCACAATCATCACAAACACAGCACCCACTATTAAGGTAAGAATACTTTTATTTCTGTTGCATTTGTATCTTAGCAGAATAACAACTTAATACTTCATGACATTAACTACAATTACATATTAACTTTTATTTGAAGATGTGGATCCTAAAAAGTGTTTGGCTCTGTTGGGGCTCCCAGTTGTAACCTATTTCTTTCTATAAGTTCTTACAGTTCATCTACACCAGTTTTACCTATCTGGAGTTTTCTGGAGCAGAGTTCCGGGGGTCAATGACCACCCGGCGTCTGTGACCAGGGCCCCTTAGGTCTCAGTGTCCCAGGATGCGAACCCACACCAGCGATAACACCAGTACCCATTTTACTTAAGGGTAACAATAGACATCAGGTGGAAAGAAACACGTCCAATGTTTCTACTCTGGCTGGGAATCGAACCCAGGCCCTCACCGTGTGAAGCGAGAGCGTTAACCACCAGGCCACCAGAGCCTAACACAACATTTTCAGAAACGTAACTTTCATGTTAAATGACGGTCTACTGTATAAGAAAAAATAAAATGTATTAATTTTATCTTGCCAGATAATGGATGAAATATAATCTTGCATACCTCACATAACACAGAAGTTACATTCTTAAAATCTGAATGAAAAACAAGGCACCTTTTAGAAAGTCACACAATTTTTTAAATGTTTTTGTCAAAAATAATGAAGATTTTGATATTGCAGTTCACACAGATTGTGTACCTAGAAATGTATATTATGTATCCAAACCCTAAATAAACACTTACAAAATAAATTTAACCCTTTCATTGTCTCTCACATAGATCTATATTATTGATGTCAGCATCACTTACACAGATCCATATTTTAACCCTTTCAGGGTCCCCAGGCCCTCTCCCAGACTTGTTCTCAGGGTCGCCCAAATTTCAAAAAAAAAAAAAAAATTTTTCTTATGAAAAGATAGAGAATCTTTTCCCAATCATAATCACACCAAAAGAATGAAATTTGATGGAAAACTTACGGAATTATGCTCTCGCGAAGTTAGTGGTCTCAACGTTTATGCATCGGCGATTTTGCCCACTTTGAGCCCTATTTTCGTCCAATTCCAGTGTACTAGAGACAAAAATCATAACTATTTCACTAGATCTCTATTTTTTCTATTGAATGAGTACAAGAAACCACCCATTTACCAATTTTAACTATCCAATACAGTGGTCAGAATTTAGCAATTTTGCCAATTTCACACAAATTTCAAAAGATG